GTCAAATTCTCCAAGACTTATATATATATATATATATCTTTGAGAAAAAAAATGAGCAAAGCTTTCCACAAAACTAAATTTCGCCATTAAATGACCCATAAGGAGTTGTTATGCCGTTAAAGAAACCAAACCCAATCTGAAGGAATAGGACGTCAAAGAAGATAACAGCCACCCTGAAGATGACCGATGTTTGATCTCCATAGAGGGCGTCTATTCATTTTTTGTCCTATGATTGGATGAAGTGTATGCTTGTAAGTTAATGTCACATAGTGGTTCAAATCGCGAAAGTAGTGAACAGTTGTTTAGAATAAGTTTTCAAGTTTGCTTACACATGTGTAAAATGCCTTTATAAGAGCCACCGGCGTCTCCATTACCGAAAAATAAATAGTCTATCTGTGTTATAAGAAAAAAAAAGGGGGACATTTTGAAGAAAGAAGGAATTTAAAGATAACCGAATAAAAGAAAAAAGAACGGGAGAAATGGAAGAAGTGTTGAGGAAAGAGAAGATGTAAAAAAAAAAGTAAGAAGGGTTAAACGAATGGATAGCGATTAAAAAATAAAGAAAGAAAAGGAAGAAAAACAACAAAAAAAATAGATAAAATAAAAAAAAGAAAGGAAGAAATGAAAGAAAGGAGACATGAAATACATATTGATATTATTTTTTTAAACACTACGAAAATAAAAGAATTCAAAACGAGGCTAAGTCTTGCATGTCAAGCCGAGTCATTTTCCAAGTTAGAAAAATGGCAGCGTCAAATATCATTTCTTTCAATTAACTGATAAAAATGTCTGAGAGTTTGTTTCATCTGCACTGGTTTCCACTCATCATCAGGCAGTGTCTTCATTTCATACATACATACATACATACATACATGCATACATATATATATATATATATATATATATATATATATATATATATATATGCGTGTGTGTTTTCTCTTAGAAATATGAGAAACCAACTTTGCATACAAATTATTTGTGTATGCAGGATTGTATTTACATAAGGAAAATTATGCACGTACAGGTCTGTTTAAACATCCGTATATATATATATATATATATATATATATATATATATATATATATATACGTACACTTACACGAGGATTGATGAAAAGTTGTGTCGAAGAACGGATTCTCATGTTTGGCCATTTATTTACATTATTGGGGTGGAAATCCGTCAATAATTTTTTATCCCACACCAAATGTAAAGAAAAAAAAATCACATATTTCTTTTTACATCTGTAACAGCCACATTTGCGAAAAGTGACACTTATTTTAGAAAAAAATATGAGTAATCTATTTAATAGATATAACATGACTACTCTTCTTAATAAAACTTGTTGAACGAACAAATTACTGCAATAATACACGGAATACACACACACACACACACACACACACACACACACACACACACACACACACACACACACACACACACACACACACACACACACACACATGCACACACAGACGCATCATGTATTAGAATGCACATTTGCCATAAAAAATAATTGGGAAAATCTGAACGGCCCTTTCACTACAGAATTAATAATTATCGGAATCGGATCAAGTTGGATCCCCACGAAAGATTATTACCTGTAGAACAATATTCCTCCATAGAAAAAATAACTTTAAAAGTCATGCAAAATTCACTATGATAGAAAAAATAGAAATAGACAGAAAAGATGACCTTAGAAAAATACTAGAGGCACATGAATACAAATGGATTCTGCGCCTTAAAAACACATCGTTCAACTGGGCTTAACGACAAATTAAACAACATAGAAAGAATTAATATATAGCCGCATAAATCAAGCTCTACCCACATTTCTCACCCACACAACACAGACATGCTTACCGAGGTGCTGAGGTCTTACACCTATGCGCACACTCACACTAAGATATACACATCATACACACTCACAAAGAACTAAAAGATAACATACACTGAACACACACATCCTATTGCCATCAACCAATAAAACTGTCAAAATCACCAAGGAAAGAATTTCTTGTCATGAATCCCTTCTATCTTAAAGAACATCTTCAAAGAGGCCGTTTGACCAACACCAGGACTGATCAAAATTAACGATAAAAAACAAATGAAAACTACAGAGAAAGTTTAATTTCTTCAGAAACAGCCATTCACTGCTGTAGTTTACTGCTACTAAGAAGCAGGGATTTTTTCACCTGATGATGGCCATGCTGGCCGAAACTAATCGAGGAACCTAAATGAAATAATACAACAAAAAATATTAATATACAACCCAGTGTGAAAACATTATTTTTTAATATTTTTTATTATTCAATATATATATATATATATATGTGTGTGTGTGTATGTATGTATGAATGCGTGCGTGTGTGTGTATAAGAAATGAATATCCGGAAAAGAATGAAAATAGAGAAAGTGAAAGAAAATAAACGTAAGAAGGAAAATGATGAAATGGTAGGAAATACAAAAGGAAGGAAAAAATATGCAAATTGATAAAAGGAAGAAAATAGTTAATGAAAAAAAAAAGGATCGAAGATAAAATGAAGAGAATGATAAGTTCGGGAGAAAAAAATAAACTAAGCTAAAATTCGACAAATTAAGTTAACACAAGAAACTTTAATGTTCGAAAAACGTAATGGAAATTTTCTAAGCGCAGTTTAAATATGACCCAAGGGCGAAATTATAAGATACCCAATGAAGAAAAAACGCAGTAGTCAGAATTAAGCGAGACAAACATGGTAACCATTACCCCACGTCAAAGTGCGTTGCTCGAGAACCGTATTGCACTGATAAAATTAACCCATTTTGATTATAGCGAAAGATGACTTCCAAACGCTAAACAATGTATCAAGAAACAAAATCAAAAGTTGAATGACTGAAGTATTAAATAGAATAGAAACAAGTCAATATTAACATAATAAAAATAATAATATAATTACATATCCAGATATTCAGGATAATTTGTCAATCATGTATCTGCTTCTTTTATTTATATTTTGTGGATTAGTTTATAATAAAATTGCATTGCACTTTGCATATGCAGACAACATTGACACACACACACACACACACACACACACACACACACATATATATATATATATATATATATATATATATATATATATATATATATATTATACAGCACAAAATCCCAAATTACCTCATATGGATATAGTCTATTTCATACTAGTACTGCTATGTGCCAGCTATCTTTAGCCCAAGACGAATAAATACATTGAGCTCTCTGTGGATCCATTTTAATATCTGATATTACTATGATCCACCTAGATTATATGCTAAGAGATCTATTACCTGTACTATATATATATATATATATATATATATATATATATATATATATATATATATATATATATATAATGATATCTGTCCTCTGGCGGCCTTCAGCGGAGTCCTTGTTCTTGTGGGCATGCTTGTTCGTCTATTCTAATCAAGAGAAGTCGGCGGGTTTTAAACCATCGAGTTTTAATCAAGAGAGCTAGGGGGATTTTAAATCATAGGGTTTTAATCAAAAGATCTGGGAGGTTTTTAAATCATAGGGTTTTGATCAAGAGAGCTACGGGGGTTTTAATTCATACGGTTTTAGTCGAGAGAGCTAGGAAGATTTTACATCATAGGGTTTTTTCCGAAGATATATGAGAGTCAAAGCATCCTGTATATCTGAATATGTATTTATTTTATATGTTAATATTGACTTGTTTCTGTTCTATATAATTCTTCAGTCATTCAACTCTTGATTTTGTTTCTTAATACATTGTTTAGTGTTTGGAAGTCACCTTTCGCTATAATCAAAATGGGTTAATTTTATCAATGCAATACGGTTCTCGAGCTACGCACTTTGACGTGGGGTAATGGTTACCAAATTTGTCTCGCTAAGTTAATTCCGACTGACTAGTGCGTTTTTCTTCATTGGGTATCTCATAATTTCGTCCTTGGGTCATATTTAAACTACGCTTAGAAAATTTCCATTACGTTTTTCGAACATCAAAGTTTCTTGTGTTAACTTAATTTGTCGAATTTTAGCTTAGTTTATTTTTTTCTCCCGAACTTATCATTCTCTTCATTTTATCTTCGATCTATTTTTTTTTCATTAACTATTTTTCTTCCATTTATTAATTTGCATATTTTTTTTCTCCCTCTTTTTGTATTTCCTACCCCTTCATCATTTTCCTTCTTACGTTTGTTTTCCTTCACTTTCTCTATTTTCATTCTTTTCCGGATTTTCATTTCTTATACAGCCCCCCATATATATATATATATATATATATATATATATATATATATATATATAATAAAAAAAAAGGCTTAAACACTAATATTTTGCATATGTATGTGTATATTTACCACTTATTATATATATATATATATATATATATATATATATATATATATATATATATATATATATAAGGAGGGTTTTAAATTATGACCTCGTAGTGTTTTTAAATCATAGGCTTTTTAATCAAGAAAGTAGGAGGCCAAATATTTAGAGTTACGTGAGAGATGCAGCTGAGTTTGCTGGTACAATGACGATCATTGATTTTTCGGGTTCCCATTGATGATATCATGTATTGTAGGACAAACTCAACATTTCTGACTATTTGACCGCCGAAAGGTTACTTTTTTGTTTTCTTTTAGCAACCGATGACCCATTCTCATCAGAGGCCGCGAGGTCTATTCTTATTATGAACAAAAATTACCTGGCGATAAGATAACTACGATCTCCGGATCTGTGTATTTGGGTCAAGAGGGTGTCTGCTGGAAAAACCTATGTCTGGCAACAGGACTCTGCACCATGCCACACAAGCAGGCGAACCCAGTCATGACTGTCAACATTTTCTGCGACCACATTACATCTGAACACCAAACTCCCTAAATTGCAAGTACCATAATTATTATGTGTAAGGTACAGTTTACCAAGAGACCAGCAAAACTTCTTGTCACATCAAAGATGAACTGAAGATAAAGATTA